CCCTGTGCACAGCACCCTCCTCACCCTGCACTCCTCACTCCCATGAAATTTGGGGCAACATGAAGTTCATACTGCTTGCAGTACATGAGTAGCAAATCCTTTGTCTCAGATCCACAGTCTCCTGTCTGCCACAATCATGACACTATTAGCTTGTGCTATGGTTTGGATATGCAAACCCCAAGGGTTTGCATGTTGGAAACTTGGTCCCCAGTGTGGCAGTGTTGGGGGAGGGGCTTTAAGAGGTAGGTTGTTGGGGGTATCATCTTCAGAAGGGGTCCTATGGGACTTTAAATAGTTCCCATGAGAGAAGGTTGTTATACAGGAGCAAGACTGGCCCTTCCTACTCTCTGGCTTCCCGTCTCACCATGTGATCTTTTCTCACATGCATTCACACCATTGTGATATCATCTGCCTTGGGACCCTCACCAGAGCCAAGCCAATACCAGCACTCTTAAACTTTTAAATCCCTGTGCTAAATCAACCACTCTTTCTTATACATTTTCCAGCCTTGAATATTTTGTTATAGCAACCAAAACCAAACTGATACAACTTGCAAGCAGGGTAAAATCTCAGACCTTTCATTTCTTTGTTTTTCCTCTCCCCCCTTTCCCTCCTTCATGAGGACCAACTTTAAGCCTGCCAGGGGAGTCATGATGGGAACTTGGAGGGAGCTGGGGGTTGAGCAAATAGGCAAATACATTCAAGGACTCTCACTGTTGGAGAAGGGAGTTGCAAATAAGGAAACCATGCAGACTGAACCAACTTCCATGTTGTTGGATTGAAATGAGATATCAGTACAAATTCTTAGTTTTAACACAGGTAGATATAAGAATAGGTATATATATATATATATATATATATATATATATATATATAATATACATATGCATATATACTTACATATACTCATTCCCAGCTCTGGAAACAATGTCATCCTGGCAGCAGGGAGCAGCTCTTAGTCTCCAACTACCATACTCACTGAAAGGAACCAGGCTCCTCAGAGAAATGCCAACCCCTGGACTACAGCCAACAACCAAGGTAAGGAGTGCTCAGAGTGATGGGACATGTCAGAAGGACATGGACACCAGATTCAAAAGTACAGATGGCAGTCCATTGAGAAAAGTGGCAGTCCTTGAGTCTGAGATAGATACAGACATAGAACATGCATGCATACATAAAGGAGGGAGAGGGGAGGCCCCACCTCATAGAGCAAATCTCAGATTGTCTCCCCAGAGTCACTCAAAGCACTTACTAATTAACCCCACAGGGGGGAATCTTGGCAGACCCCATCCCGCCCAGCTGATGAGAGTTATCATTGCCAGTGATGTCCAGATTGGCACCATGGGCCTGGCACAGGCTGCTTGAGAAAACATCTTGCCTCAGAGGGATTTCTATTGGCAATGCCAAAATCACAAGAAAAGGACAGAGCTAAAGGGGAGGATGTTCTACAGAGACCCAGCAAGGATGTCATCGAGATGGGGACCAAGCAAATATTAGAGCAGTGTTCGTTTCCCAATTTAACTGTGAGAATCTGTTTACTTCCAAAGTACACTGTGGGGGTATGGGTAACAAGCATCAAGTCTGCAACTTATTCTCAAATAGTTACAGAGGTGGGGGAGAGAATATAACAATAAGGCAAATGTGGTGAATCAGGGATGTTGGAGATGTGTGTGGAGGGGATCTCCAGGATCTCTTTGTACTATGTGTGTTACTTTTCTGTAAATTGAAATTTATTTCAAGATAAAAACTTGGATGGGAGCATAGCTGATCTCATAGAAGTGGAGGGCATAACAGTGACCACTGGAAGGGTGGAGGGCAGGGACAGGCAGAGGCTGGACAACAGGTACGGAAGCACAGACAGGAGGAGCAAGTCCTAGGGTTCCACAGCACAGTAGAGTTCATGACAATTAACTGATAGATATTTCATGAAGAACTAGAAAGAGGAGCACAAAGTCTCCAAACAGCAAATCTATACATGTTTAAGGAGACAAAAATGCTAATTACACTGATTTGATTACTGCACATTGTATTCATGCATGAGCTAATCACGCCATAGCCCACAAATATGTATGATTATTGTGTCAATTAAAAACAAACTTTAGTCAGACACTGGTGGCTCATGCCTGTAATCCTAGCTACTCAGAAGGCAGAAATCAGGAGGATCATGGTTCAAAGCCATCCCAGATAAACAGTTCTGTGAGATCCTTTTTGGAAAAAACCCATGGCAAAAAAGGACTGATGGAATGGCTCAAGGTGTAAGCCCTGAGTTCAAACCCCCAGTACAGCAAAAATAAATAAATAAATAAGTAGACTTTAAAACAGTCACAAAATGCCACACAAGACCATGTATTTTCACAGTGCCAAAAGCAGGTAAATGTTTAGGAAAGGTCTGGAAGGATGTCCAAGGTGGAGGAAAGAGATTAGGATGGGTGCGTCTCAGTCCTGGCTCCAACTCAGGTGGTGCTGCCCCCTGGTGGCTGAAGGGCTGGTGATGTGGGAAAGCTAAACCACAGGTCCCACAGTGGTTACCTGTCACGGCAACCACTGGCGCTAAGGGATGTTACTGGAGACAGGGGACATTTTCATGAAAGGTCTGATAAAGATACAGACCTTTCATATGCATGCTTCATACATGAAGGTGAGGGAAGGTCCCACCTCACAGAGCAAATCTCAGATTGTCTCCCCAGAAACTAATTGTAATTAATGAATGCAAAGTGCTGTGGCAGTGGTGAGGAAGCTGACATGAATATTCGGCTTTTCTGGTGAGCACTACTCTGCACCGGGCAATGGCTTCATCAGGGATGTACACATCTCAGTTAATGTCCCCAGCAGACCTATGGGCAGTCTCCGTCACCATTGCCAAATTATGGACGAAGAAACTGTGATAGGCACAGACGGGAAATAACCTGTCCAAAGTGAACTGTCCTTTGGAAGTTCTGGGGAAATTCACAGGCTCTCAGGATGGTACCTGCGTGGCTGGATTGTTTCCCCACTATGGGGCTGAGCTGCCCTGCTAGTGTCCCTGGACCATAATCACCAGCTGGGGAGTTAGTTCTTCTTCCACATAGTCATTTCACTCAAGGGGGTCTGCTGCGAGCAGTGCCCCTTACACCTGGGTTAGCCCCACAGGCTAAGGACCTGGCCTGTCTCCTACATGCTCAGGAGGCTTCTTAACCAAGGGTGCATGGCCTCCTGGACCAACTCCGCCAGAATTCCCAACAAAATGTTCCTAACCCCCTTCCTAGGCCTATGTGGCTTGTCCTTGAGCTGTGCCCCAAGGTGCCCTCCCAGTGTGTGCACCTTTGGGTCCACAGCTCCTCATTGTGCCCAGCAGAGTTGGGAGGCTCCTGGGAAAAACCACAGGCTCTTCACTCTGAACCTGTGCTGCCCCAACAAGCAGGTGTCAATGTCAAGGTTGGAAGCTGGGACAGATGGGGAGGCAATCCATTGGGTTAGTTGATAACTTCTTTCTTCTTCTTCTTTTGGTGTTTGGGATGAACACAGGGCCTCGCACATGCTCAGCGGGCATTATACCACTGATCTACAAACCAGGCATGGCCAATCACTTTTAAACATTTCATGCTTGCTGAATATACCAGAGGAGCTGGTGGGCCTCATGTGGGCACTGCTGAAGCACGCACTCATGTGGGAGAAGGTGTACAGTCAGATTATGAGGGTTGATGAGGATTAATCCCAGGCCCTTGTACATACTAAGATCAAGCTGTGCCATTGACCTACAACTCCATTTGTCCCTTGACATAAAATATAAGCCTTTGTCTGAACCACAAATAAGAGTCCGTGTGGAATCTTTATAAGGTTGTCAGACAGGCTGAGGAGAAGGTACCAGTATTCCCTGTGTTCCCTCTTAGATCTGTTCCCTTTGGAAAGCTTTTTAAACTCATTGTGTCTCAAGTTCCTGTTCTACACACATTGCTACTCAGGAAACAGCAGCGAGGACCCTGCCTGGTAGCTGAGGACACGGCAGTGACAGATACCAAGGGTGTCTCCTTCCCTAGCAACCTGGTCTAAGGAGGCATCTGTGGGAAGAGCCTGGGAAGTTATGGGGCAGTGCTCAAGGTAGTGGGATAGCCACAAAGGGCTGTGGGGGCTCCCCTTCTTCTTCCCAGGATGGCAGGGTAAAATTCACCAGGGATTGCTTCTGTCTCTACTGGGCACTGGAGGGGACACTTTTTGGAGAGAATGGACAAGAGAGGGAGAACAAGAGGGAGGAGGGAGAGAGCAGAGAGAAGGGGTCAATGAATGGGTGAGTGAATGAATGAGGAAGAGAGGGAGTAAATGAGTCAATGAGTGGGTGAGTGGAAGGTGAATGGGGGCTGGAGGGAGGGAGGAAGCAAGTGAGGGTCTGGCCTGCTCTAAGCTCTGGTTAACACCTATACTAACCTGAGAAGTTTCCATAAGTCAGATGGAAATGTGAAAGGTTTGTGGTCAGTGATGACAAAATCCTCTTGTGACAGTCACTAACTGGGAAAAGTCCAGGAAGCTGAGGCAGGCCCTTGCTTGTTGGCCAGCTCTTGTCTACCACCTCTTCCACAGCCCCCTGTCTATAGGGATCTGGCCTGTGTCCTCCTTCTACTGCCCTGGAGGGTGCTGGACTCAAGGGGAGGACCAGCAGCATGACTCTGGCACCTGTGTAGACCTAGCTTATAGGAAGGTTCTGATGGCTGCTTCCCCTTAGGTGAGCACTGCCGTTCCTGCAGGGACCATGGATGTGTCTCCAGGCTATGGAAGCCCAAGCCAGTTGATCTGAACAGGGCTCTAGTGCCCAGCAGTGACCATCCATGTCTGCCAGGATTGAGTATCCATTTTCTAATTTCATGTGGCCCATGTCATCACCCTCAGGCACACTCTGAGACCCCCACAAGAAGGAGGAGGCCTCTCCAGGTCACCCTCCTGGCCCTATCATGGTCTTTGTCTCTGGCCTCCCTGCCCAGTGGTTTTTTTTTTTTTTTTTTGCCTCCCTGTGATATCAGCAAGTCTTTGCAGTCCTCATGTTAGCCAGGTGTCCTTGGGTAGCCTCAAGTCCTGAGCCCCACTCTCCCTTCACTCCTAGGGATAAGACTGTGATCCAGAGCAGCACACAGAGAAAAAGTCTGTTTGTCATTCCATGGGAGCAAAATATGAAAAAGTGGAATTTTAAAAAAATTCATCTAAGTGGGAGATTCCAGGTCCAGCTGAAGACATGACCATAGATCACTGGGAAAACCCTTTTCTCAGGGCTGGGGGGCTTCCGGTCAGTGGTTTTATGTAGCATGCATGTACAGGAACCAATTATCTTGAGACCATCCTGTGTGAGGACAGAAGACAGACCTGAAAGCTTGCCAAGTGGACAGGTGTCCTGTGGGTCAGGGAGGGAGTGACTCCAAGGCTGGACCCAAGGGATTCCCAGTTCCTACACCCCTCCCCCCCTCAGGCGAAAGCCTGAGGTTGGAGGAGCAGTAGAGTAGAGCCCAGAGGAATGGTCACTCTGGTACTTGCCGGCCATAGATCTTACCCTCACTCTGTCTGGTTCCTATCTTGTGTCTCACACTAGTGGATACTCTTTCTAGAAATTTTTCTTTAGTCTTTTTCATTCATTCAAAAGAATAGGTGCTTCACATTTTGTTTGAAGTGAAATAGATGTTGTTGGAGTTCCCTTTATTTAGTCTCTGCTCATTGTGTGTTTTTCTGGTCCTTGTGTTTGTGATGGGGAGAAGGCCTCTAGGGAAGGGGCTGCTCATGGGCTAAAGGGGCCTCCCAGTCAGCCAAGCATCCCTATGGGAGACAGTCCAAGCCAGAGCATGTGGTCCAAACTTAGGAATCCAGTAAGACTCATTTTCCTGGGGTGCTGGACACAGTGTTGGCACAGGGACACATAAGAGCCCTGCAGCTGCTGGAGGGAGAGAAGCCAAGGCAGACCTGACAGTGGGGGTGTCAGGGAGGGCCACCTGAGGGCTCCACCCTGGGACCTTAGAAGACTCATGGAGGAGGATCGAGGGCTAGGGCAGGCAAGTGTTCTAGGAGGTCAGGCCCCTGCACCCTCCTTCCCACCTCTAGACTTGGTGCACGGGTATGGCCCTAGCATCTTCCTGGTCTCACTGTGCCCTGGGCTGTAAGACCTTGAGGCTATCCCTGTGAGACCAGAGGACTCACCCTCCCCTCCCAGTCTTGACCTCCTGAGAGACAAAGGAAATATGCTTACCTGTAAAGGTAAAATTGCACTGTTTCTTTTCGAAAGAAGACGGATCAATCTGTGTTTTTGTGTTTTCATTCTACATGTATTTTTCCCCACGCCTCTCACAGTGGAGAATGCAATCTGACAGCTGCCATACAAAACGATTTAGCACAATAGCCCTGCACAGCTCCGTGGAAGCAAACAGGTGCTTGGGGAGGGGCGGGGGGCCTCTGATCTGCTCAACACAGTATCTCCAGCCACTGGGCTGTGAGCTGTGTGAGGCACCTGAGCCAGGGGTATCAGGAAGGGAGAAGGGTTAGCCCCAATGGTGACCCGCTGAGGTAGGCGTCATTGGCTCTGTTTTCCCAATAAGAAAAGGGATACATCAATGTGACCCAATGAGGTGCACCAGGACAGAGCCAGGACCTGACTCTAGACCATAAGATTTCCTTCTCTGCTCCAACATAGGTGAGAGGTTGCAGGACTGAAGAGCAGAGTCGTCTGCCTTCTCCTGATCTGCCCTCACACTTCCCCTGCAATGAAGAAGCAGAGGAATTCCAAGCCTACCCTGGCCTCTTCCACCACTGTCAACTCTTACTGGGGTGCCCACCAGCATCTCACTGGTGTCCCCAGTATGAATGTTTGGAACTCCCTATGGAGGATACATGGGCTTGCTGGGAGCCAGAGCACCCAGCTACTCCACCTCGTGGCTCCCCAGCAGAGGTGTCTGCTCAGCACAGAGCCAGCTCCAGACGAAGGTCCTCAGGGTTGGGCTCCCACCCCCTTGTTACTTCTGGGTTGTGCCACAGTGCCAGGTCCTCAATGTGGATCATGTCGACTCTGAGGCAGAAGTATGAGAAGTCCCAGATGCATTGCCAACAGTCATGAGGCTAGGGCTGCAGAAAAGCACAGAAAATTAAGTCATCATCCAGCGCTCTGCCAACAGCCTGCTGTTGGCTAATGGATGAGGGAACCAGCCAGAACGGGCTGCAAATGAAGAGCTCTCCTGACTGCCACATGCTGTCTGGGCTGCCGGCAGCCTGGGAGCATCACTGTTACCCTGGGCACACTGCTACTTGCCATATGGGAGGTCCTAGGCATCCAAGATACCCTATGGGCAGAGGCTCACAGAGGGAATGGCTCCAGGAACAAGAACTCAGTAGTGTGTCTTATAGAGGGTGTCCATAGCCAGGGCCATGGATTCTTTGGCCAGTGGGTTCAGTGGATGGGGGAGCTGGCAACATTGCTGACCTCAGGCTCCCCATGCCTGGTATCCTCCCCTGAAGTACAAGTCTGCTCAGCAGGACTCCTCAATCAGCCTCCCTGGGGTGGCTGGCTTTGACCCTGGTGGATGGATGGGCCTGGGAAATGTGTAATCATTTGCATGTGCCGTGGGTGAGTGTATCTCCTCTGAGTCCTTTGAATGTGTGAGCTTGGTGACTTCTGTCTTTAGGGACCACTTTTTCCACCCCTTGTGGATTCTGGACACTTCTTGCCGGGAATGGTCAGTGGCCAGCACGTAGATGATGGGGTCAGCCACGCTGTTGACTGTGCACAGGCACAGAAATACCGCAGAGACTGTGTACACTCTCCTTTCAAAGGCACACAGGGCATCCTTGTCTCCACCGTAGAAGAAGAAAGCAGAGGCTCTGATGAGGAGCACCACGTGGTAGGGAGCAAAGCAGACCAGGAAGATGATGACAACTGCAATGGCTGAGTGCTTCACCTTAGACTTCTGGGTGGCTGTCAGGCCCACGCTTAGCTCGATGCTCCTGAAGATTCGGTGGTTGGTGAACGTGATGATGCTGAGGGGAACGGCAAAACCAATGGTAAACCGTGTGTAGTGATAAGCGGCAATCCTGTTGTCCATCCGCTGGGGCTCAAAGCAGGTGCCGCTCATTACGTCCATGTCAAACACCGGGTAGTAAACAAGCCCAACCAGAATAAAGATGCACACAGAAATGAAGACAGCTGTCTTCTGGTGGCGGTGGCCTCGGCTCTCCAGCGCATAGACCACTGCCATGAAGCGGTCACAGGAGATGCAGCACAGGAAAAGGATGCTGATGTAGATGTTACAGAAGAAGATGTAGGCAGTCACCTTGCAGGCCCGCTCACCCAAGGTCCAGCAGTGCTGGTTCTGGACGTAGATGATCCAGAGTGGCAGGGTGCTGATGTACAGCAGCTCACAGAGTGAAAGGCAGAACAGGTAGACGGACAGCACATTGCCCTGCAGTGCCTGCAGCAGCGTCAGCCATGCAGTCAGGCAGTTAGCTGGCAAGCCCAGTGTGCACACCACGCTGTACACCACCACCAGGATCACTCTGCTGTCCTCAAAGGACGCATTGCAGCTCTCAGAGGAGAGGCCCGGGGCCGTCTGAGGGACAGGGGTGGTCACTGGAGTGGCGTTTCCTATGAGACAGAATGATGGTGGGAGTCCTTGGAAAGTACCAAGAAAGAAAAAGATTTATGTGACTCAGACTACACACATCAGGTGTTCAAAAAAGAAAATCTCTGGGTGATTTTTTTTTTTTTTGTAAAGCTGGGGTTTGAACTTGGGACTTTGCATTTGCAAAGCGGGCACTCTAGTGCTTGAGCCACAACTCTAATCCATTTTGCTCTGGTAATTTTGGAGATGGGTCTCACAAACTATTTGCCCAAACTGGCCTTGAACCATGATCCTCCCAATCTCAGCCTCCCAAATAGCTAGGATTACAGTTATGAGCACTGGCACCCCGCTCCAGATAATTTTTTTTTGTCTTTTCTTTTTTGGTGCTGGGATCGAACCCAGGGCATCGCGCATGGTAGGCAAGCGCTGTACCACCAAGCTACATCCCAGCCCCAGGTAAAATTTCAAAGTGATCCTTACATCGGGATGTCCAACTCACTGGAATGAGCAAGAATGAAGTGTGGGCAACTTTGAGATTTTGCAACTTGTTGAGGTCAGTTGTCAAAACATTGCTTGTAGGGGGGAGAAATGACCCAAGCCTTGTATGCACGTATGAATAATAAAATAAAATAAATAAAAACATTGCTTGTGTGTTTGAAAATAATGTCTGTTTTCTAATGACTGAGTGAATTCCCTTCTAAGCACATTCTCAACAGTGTCTACAGTGAGGGCTAATGCTACCCTCTTCCAGAAACTTCCATGCTTCCATTCCCACTTTCCCAGTCCCTGCCCCCAGCATGGCCCCTGTCTCATCCACTTCTTTGCCTGCTTGAGCTATCAATTACACAAAGATGATTTATAGCCCCCGTTGCAAAGATGGATTTGTCCAAGTCTTGTAGTTTTCTCAAGGTTTGTTTTATATATTTTATTATATTGTTAGTTGTTGCCTAGTAACTAGAAATGGTACTGTTTTCCTGGCTTACTAACCCTCTTAGTGTTATGTCACAATGCTCTTTATCTCTGCGGTAGTCAGAATAATTACCTCCCCTCAAAGATGTCTGCATCCTAATCCTGTGAACTTATGGATGTGCTAGGTAAGGGGGCAGAGGGGAATCAAGGCCACTGATAGATATAGGATTGTTAATTAGTATTATCCAGTGTGCCCAGTGTATCATAGGATCCTTAAATGTGGGAGAGGAAGAAAGAAAGATCAGAGGACCACAGTCAAGGGATGCAGCAGCTCTAAAAGCTGGCAAAAACAGGAATGGATCCTCCCCTAGAGCCTCCAGGGGAACCCAGGTTTGCAAACCGTGTAGCAAAACTCTTGCGTTTCCTTGGCATCCATTTTGGACACAGGTCTAACTTCCTCATACCAGAAGCAGGGCTCAGTCTCTCTGGACACAGCTTCCAATAGTGCTAAGCATGCACTATACCACTGAGTTACTGAACCAGTCTGTTTTAGATGTGACACATATAAAATGCTTACAGCTGGATTTAAAAAAAATCTAATACGCTACCTTTCCACTATCGTATCCAGTTCATTTAGAGTCATAATGGGTGGACTGATCCGTTTTCATTTATTTCCTCCATCTTATTTTATTTTCTTTTACATGCTTTTCCATTACTTTTTATAGCCTTTTTACTTTCCATTGTCAACTACATTGAGTACTCCCCAAAAAAGAAATGTTGAGATCCTACCCTTCCATGCTTCAGATAGACTTTATTGGGAAATGGGGTCTTTTCTGACATGAGCACATTAGGATGAGGCCATTAGGGGCTGAGAAAGTAGCTCAGTGGTAAAACACTTGCCCAGCATGCAAGTGTTTCTGGATTCCATCCCCAGCAACACAAAAATATATTAATTTAATTAATTTATTAAAAAAGAGAATCAGATGAACCTACATCAAAAAAATTTTTTTAAAAGCTGGGTGTGTTGGCTCGCACCTGTAATCCCAATTATTTGAGAAGCAGAAGTAGGAGGATCATGATTCTAGGCCAGCTCAGGCAAAAGTGTGAGACCCTATCTGAAAAAATAACCAAAGCAACAACTGGTGGAATGGTTCAAGCTGTAAGAGCACTGCCTAGCAAGCATGAGTGTGAGGCCCTGAGTTCAAACCCAGTACCACCAAAAAAAAAATTAAAAGAATGTAAAGACAAAAAATAACCAAAGCAAAAATGGCTGGGCCCATGCTCAAGTGGTAGAGCTCTGCTTAGGAAATGTGAGACCCTGAGTTCAAACCCATGCCACCACACACACACACACACACACAAAGAATGAGATTAGGGTGACATCTAATACCATATGGCTGGTGTGTCCTTTACAAAGGGGAAATCTGAAACCAGACACAAAGATGCACACAGAGAAGAGGTGTCTACAAGCCAAGGAGAGAAGCCCCAAGGGGCAGGCAGTGCGACCATTCTCAGTGATGGCCTCCAGAGCATTTCTGTGCACTCACATGTGGTGTTTTGTTCTCACCCACAGGTTAGATGGTGTTATAATTTCCCACAGCCTGCCCCAGCCTTTTTCCTCTCTCCTTGCTCTTTTTCTTCTGAGATCATTTTTCTCTGCAGCTGTCTCACCCATGCAGGCTGCTGTAACAGGTTTGCACAGCCTGGCAGCTCCTGAACCACAGGAACACCTCTCACAGTTCTGGAGGCTGCACACTGAGAACAAAGCACCCGGCAGATCTGGAGTCACATGAGGTCTGTTTCCTGGTTTGCCTCCTCTCCACATCCTCATGGTGGATGGAGTAAATGAGGCAGGGTTCTGGAGACTTTTTTCTCTCTAATCCCATCATCACCAAGGGCCCACTTCCTCATGCCATCCTTCTGGGGATGAGGATTTCAACATATGCATTTGGGGAGAGACACAGACATTCCTTTGGTAATTCTGGTTTTCATTTTCTATATGTGTTAAAGTCTGGATCTGGAATGTCCCCCGAAGAAGGTTTGATCTCCAGCTGGTGGTGCTATTGAGGGGTGGTGGAGACTTTGGGAGGTGGGGCCTAGTTGGAGGAAGTAGATCAGACCCTTGCAGGGTTTTTTGTCCTTGCCCCACCCCCTTCCTTTCCCTTTCTCTGACATAGCAGTCTCCTTGCCACACACTCAGCCTTGCTACAGACCTAAAACCAACGGAGCCAACCAACCAGGGACTGAAACCTCTGAAACCATGAGCCAAAATAAATCTGTCTAACACAGGATAAAGCTGTCTAACACAGGATGTTATGATAATTTTTTTTGTTTGTTTGTTTTGCAGTGCAGGGACCAGACCCAGGGCCTCACCACCTGCTAGGCAACACCCCACCCCTGAGCTCCAGTTCTAGCCCTAGAAATTCTGCTCATGAGAGCCTGCTGGTAAGGCTTTTCCTAGCTTTTGTTCGTCTGAAATGTCCTCTATTCACTCTTTCCACAGAACAGAGGGTCCGCTTTACCTTTGGCACATTCATAGCCGCATCCCCAGAATTCTGACTTGTAAGCTGCTGGGGACCTGTTGTCTTAACTGTCACGCCTTTGGGCCCAAATTGAGGATTTATGTGGTCATCTGATCCAGACAGTCTGCATTCTGCCTCCAGTGGGGCTTCAGGGACATGTGTGATTCCTGTGACCTCTTCTTATCCTGGGCTTCACATCGTGCCTTGTTCTCAAGCACCCCCTTGCCCTTCCTCCTACACATATCTGACTTCAGTTTCTGAATCCTCTTTTATCTGTGTCTAATCTGTTTTCTTAAACTCACTGTTGAGTTTTGCAATTCAGTGATTGTATTTTTTGCTTCTAGAACCTCCATCTAGATCCTTCTCCAATCTGTATGGTGCTATTGGGGGGGCGGTGTTCCCCAAATGGAAGATGAGGTCTCCAAAGAGGGCATGGGCTTGTGCTCCAGGGCCCCCACCCAAGTACAGGCAATCCCCATGGTGGGAGCCCTCAGATGTGCTCTGGGTTGGGATCTTGTCACCCCTCACTGCAGGGCCACTCCTTGGGATCCTGTATGCAGGTATCCACATTCAACCCTCATGAGTGTCCTGAGGCTCACCTGCTGTCCATGGTCAATTAGAAAAGAAACAACAAAATGTCACTTCACAGTATGAATCAGCCTTAGGTCTGTGGCTATCCTAGGCTGATCCTCACTGTGACTCGGGCACAGCACAGTCACCACTGTACAATGTCAAAAAATGGGAGGTGAAGAGGACATGCAAGTGGGGTCTTTGGCAAGGGGACCCATGAGACATCTTTGTAGCACTGCCCAACCCCATCCCTGGGTCTCCTGTCCTACCAAGCTCAGCAGGAAGCCAGAGCTTGGCAGGCATCTGGCCCAGGGCTGCTGGGTGGTTGTAGCTGCGACCTGTGCAGCTAGCACCAGAGGTGGGCTTCTGGGTGGGTGTGCTCAGTGGAGCTGCAGGTGCCACTCGGTGTCCTTTCATGTCTGCAACCTGGAGAGCCAAGGGCTCCTTCATACTCTAGTGCCCACTTGTCACGGAAGACCCTGCTTAGATCCACCTGCCCGGCTCAAGAATGTCAGTGGGGCCAGCTGAGATAGACACCAGTCCCCAGGCCCTCAGCTGCTGTGACCCTTCAAGGCCCCCACCCCTCACCTGCCTTCTTGACAGCAGTAGGCATGTGGCTGGAAATTCTCTACCCATGCCCTAGCACAGGCCTGGGGTCTCAAGGGCACTGTCTGCTGGCCCAGGCTTATGTCTGTCCCTGGACCTCCCTCCTGCACTGGCCAGCTGTCCATGGCTCCCTGAGATCTCAGCTGCTTATGTCCAAATTATCCATCTGGCCACTGGCAGGCAGGGCACCTCTGGCAAAACAGAACGTTAGATTGTCAGCAGGGAGGGCTTCTCTGTTTCTCAGCTGGGGGCCCTCGTGGAGGAGCTAGGTGGCCTGCCCTGGAGCATGGGGCCTGATGCCCGCCATGCTCCTCATGTGACTCCCCTTTTTCTCTTTTAAAAAATACATATAACATAAAATGTTCCATCTAAACTGTTCTCTAGTGTTCAGTGAGACCACACCACCATCCCTCTCCAGAACTTTCTCATCTTGCAAAACCAAAACTCTGTCCCCATTAAATAGTCACTCTCCACCTCCTCCCCAGCCCCCAGCGACTCTATATCCATGGATCTGATCTCCCAGGAGGAGGTCATCCAGCATTTGTCTTTTTGTGCCAGGCTTATTTTACTGAGCACAGCGTCCTCAAGGTCCATCCATGTCATAGGCTTGTCAGAACTTCTTCCCCTTTTAAAGCAGAATAATATTTTACGGTGACATTCCACTGAAGCATAATTTCCCACAGTGCACCGTCTACCACATTTTGCTTATGCAATCGTCCCCAGGCATTGGAGCTGCTGCCACCTTTTGGCCATCGTGAGCAGTGCTGCTGTGAGCCGGGTGTGCTAATGTGGGCTAGTGACTCAGAGTAGCTATGCAGAAGTGGAATTGCTGGATCATATAGCAATTCTACACTCACCTCTTTGAGGAACTGGGGACTTTTTCACAGAGGCGTCTCCCTTTGCATTCCCACCAGCGATGCACAAGGTTCTGGTTTCTCTAGATCCTCGGCAGCATGTGTTGTGTACTTTCTGTCTTTTTAACGGCCCTGCCTCTTACCAGGTGGATCCCCTCGCCCACCGTCCTGCCCACTCTGGGATGTGCTGTCATCTGTCTAGACGGAGAGGTTGAGGTCTGGGGAGTGTTGCACTGCCTCTGACCCCAGTCTCAGTCCTTGGCACAAGACTCAGATATTATACATCTATAACCCCAGCACTCTAGAGGCAGAGGCAGGAGGATCTCAAGTTCAAGGCCAGCCTGAACTACATAGTAAGACCTTGTCTCTAAACCAAGGACTTGGAATGTCACTCAGTGATAGCCCTAGGTTTGATCCCAGCACCCAGGGGCTGTTTGTTCCCCACCTGGACAGCTCTTTTCCTACCATATGCATTCTGCCGGGCATGTGCACTCTGCATACATCCTGGATGAGATAAAAATAGCTCAGCTGCCCTCTCTGGCTGCTGTCCTGTCTGCATCCCAGTGCCGCCCCTCACTGTCATGCCTCACAAATGCATGAATCCTTAACCCAGGTGGAGGCCCAGGTAAAGCCAGCGGTGGTCCAGGTGACCTCCCAGCCCATGTCCCCCACAGAGGAGCCTTCCTCACCTCCCACCTCCTCTACTCCACTCCACACTGTCCCCATGCAGGGTCTTGGTGTGGCTCTATCCCGTGCCATCTGCTCAGTCTCACACAAGCCCCTGGGCCTTTGCTTTTGTACACCGTGTCCTGTTGCTGAGCACCATCCAGGGACGCGCATGGTCCTCATCCCACCTCTCTCCCCCAGCAGGTGACCTTGCTGAAAGGTGACCTAGGTGGAGGAGCTTCTGGGGTGGGGACAGAAGAGCCCCAGAAGAAAGGCAGTAGGGAAAGCTGAGGAGGAAGCTCAGTGCCAGCTCCTTGCCCAGCCCTGCAGTGCCCACAGGGTTCTTAAATGACATGTGGGCAGCTCATGGCTCGCTCAGTCTTGGTCTCTCGCACAGGAATTGGACACCCAGAACACCAACTCACTCCCATCTTGCCTTTTCCCAGCATTTGTCAAGAGAATTATGAAGTGGGCACTTCCCAATTTCTTAATGGAGACCTCAATATTTAGTCTCTGAGTTAGTTTTTACTTTGAAAATCTGTTTTTTCGTGTTAATTTCTAAGTTATAAGACAAAGTACATCACAGAAAAAGTCTTGTGAACCCTCTTAACTATTTAAAGTCATAGGAGTCTCTCTCACCTGGCATATTTGCAGGTTCCAGTCTCAGAGTGGAGAGGTTTTACTCTGACAGTTTAAAATGACCTGGAGATAGAGCAGGTTGAATTACTTTAGAAAAATAAGATTAAGTCATATAAATTAATTCATTCAACAAAATGACTAGAGAGCATTTATGGCATGCCAACTCATGAATTCATCCTGTGGGATACAATAGCAGATCCTCAATATATAAATAACTTCCACAAATCAACAAAAGGCAACCTAAAAGGGAACTATCAAAGCTAACCAGCATGAAAACATTACCCTTAGGGCTGGAGCTGTGGCTCAAGTGGAAGAGCGCCTGTCTAGCATGTGTGAGGCCCTGAGTTCAAACACCAGTGTAGCCAAAAAAGAAAAAGAAAAATTCACACTGCACATTATAAATAGATGTGATTTTTATTTATCAGCTATACCTTAGTAAAACTGGGAGATGGGAAGGAAAGCCAACAAACTTTCACAAATTAGATAAAAATAGCTCTTAAAAATCCAAGAAATAATCAACTCCACTTGTAGTCAAAGAAACGCAAATACCAGCATAAGGAAGGTAGTCTCTTTTCCTGCCTAGCATCTTGGCAAAATTAAAGAACTTCAGGCTGGGATGTAGCTTAGTGGTAGAGTGTTTGCCTAGCATGCTTGAGGTCCTGGGTTTGATCCCTGGTATACACACACACACACACACACACACACACACACACAATAAATAAATAAAAGAAGTAAAGAACTTTAGCACTCAGTGTCGTGGAGAGTGAGGAAGGGGGAGCCTTGCACTGTATTGACAGGAGTATCAGTCAGAACAAGGCTTTGGGGCACAGTTTTGCAGTATTTCCAAAAATCTTAAGTGTGCTTAAATTTTAAATTATTCAAATCCCTTCTAGGAACTTCTTCCTTGTGAAATAATGACCCAAGATACAACACATGTGTGACTCAGAAGCCTGTATTAAAGTAGGTCACCCAATGTGAAAGGGACCCCAAGGACAAAACCCTCAGCTCACAGAGCACAGGCAGATGGAACAGTAGCATCCAGCTGGCCTGCCTCTCTGCCTCCTTCCATAATGGGGATCCCCAGACAAAGTCCATGCTGACCAGTCAAAAAGGGTCTGGGAAGAAGCAAGAGTTCCAAAGCCATCCTCAGAGGTTATGGAAGCCTGACCCCCACCCAGCCACTAGCTGCTGCCCTCAGTCAGCTGGACACCCTCATGGGGTCCTCCTGGAGCAGCCACCGGATTTCTTGGGAAGTCATTCCCACGTGAAGCAGAGCCCATAGACGTCCACACCTCTCCAGGTCCCTTGCTATGTGAGGCTACCAGTCATCGGCTCCCTGCCTTCTTTTCTCATTTCTAAAGCTGGAAACAACAGGAAGCCAAGATGTTTACCTGAAATTACAGGAAGCTCACTGACTTGTGAAGAATTTTAAAGCAACACCACAATACACATTAATAAGTGAGATACTTTGGCAAGAAAAAAACAAGAAAAGTCATTCCAATGGAATGTCCCCTTGGCAGATCTCCCTGTCCTGCCCCTGCCCTGACGAGTGTCTGCCCGGCTGGGTCTCAGGCCAGCCCCTGTGCAGTGAGGTGGGGTCACTTCTAGGAGTCTTTAAGGCCTTTTGTTCTGAACTCATAGTCTGCCCCACCGTGGGCACTGTGTGAAGGGTTCCGCCCTGGCTGCTGTGCCCAGGTCCAAGGCCTAGCTAGGGAGAGATATAGGGCTCTCTGGCCACTATCCAAACCAGGGGACTCCAGGGAAAGCCCCGTTAAGGATTGCCAATGAAGGAATCCCCAGATAATGAGGATTCCTTCATCAGCAGTGAAGGAATCAAATGGGCTAGATCACCCCAGTGGAGGGATGGACAGAGAGCCCGTGTCTGCCTGTGGTCGGCCCAGCCTGAGCCTCACGGCATGAGGGATGGATACCCCACTTCCTTCCCCATGCCACCCTGTGTTTTAGGAGGGCCTGCTCTCTCTCCTCTTTGCCAAGCACTGCGAACTGCCCTTTCTTTCAGATTCTGAGTAACACCAAGCAGGACCATCAGTCTTGTGGCTTTGAGAATAAGCGTGTGACTCTGGATCCACAGCCTGATGCCCCACACTTCAGAGTGCCAAGAGGCCCAGGAAGGGCTCACGAGACATTTACCCATCTTGCCTGAACTGAACAGAGAGTTTTGGAAAGCCAGCAAAGCAAAACCTGAGAGGACGCATCTGTCCCCTGCAGGGACTGCAAATTCCATTCATCTCCAAGGCATCAGTAGCCCCGGGAGCAGACAGGAGCTAGTTTATAGGCCACCTTAGCAGATGCTGGAGGAAGCAAGAACCCAATGGAAAATCTGAACCATGCTTTCCTCCCAAGGTGAGGCTGGCATTTGTGGCTGCTGTCCCAGCTGTAGGAGAGCAGCCCAGCAGAGTAAGGGCCTTCTAGGAAACCCTGCCTCTGCCTGCACTCTGAAGACAAAGCCTGGCTGGGCAAGGGCCACATCTGGGGCCCTGTCCTTGACCTTAGGGTATTGACAGTCTACCTGGCTACATCAAAGTGAACCACGGCCCAGGCAGGACAGTCCTGTACTGGAGCACCTAGAGAGGCTCTATCTTGGCCCACCAGGATACTCACCTCCTCAGCACTGTGGCCAGGTTCCTCACCATGGGCAGTGTCCAGCACCGCCACACCCCACCAGCCATGCTATCTGTTCCTGGCCCTCCACTCCAACCACTGGCTCTTTGCTCCTCAGAGCCTGTCCTAGACAGGGCTTTGTACCGGCACTTCCTGCTTCCATTATGAGTTGTATCCACCCTCTGAGGTGACCCTGTCCAGGACACTCAGGGCCTTCTTGATGCCCGACTTCAGGGGGTTCTTAACCCAGATAGTTCACAGGTGCTGGCAGCAGTTGGGCTGTTTCTTACACAAGAAGGGGCACAGGGCATAGTGGCCCCATCCTCTGAGCCACAGGCTGTTCCTGGGGAGGGGCGCAGCTGGGTCAGGCCTTCTCTGGACCCCTGGGATAGGCATTTAAGTGGAAAGTAAGAGCCAGGAGAGAGGACCCTGTGTCATTCCACTTCTGAGAAGCAGATGCTGCCAGACCTGGCTGCTCCCTGTCAGTCTTGACATCCCAGCCCATCTCTTGGGTTTCATCTCCCCTGTGGAGTAGGTGGAAGTGGCTGACCCCTGGAGAAAGGGAGCCTGGCACAGATTCTCAGACCCACTCAGCAGCCCCCAGCCTTCTGAGAACTTTATAGGGAGTGGCACTCTATTCCCAAGGTGTTCACAAGGACCATCAGTTTCACCAGGCCCAGGGCATCCACAGGCCCACCATGCTCTTCGTGCTTATGACGCCCTGGGGCTGGACTTGGGGTTTCCTTCTTTGGTCTCTGCTCTGAGAGAACTGCCACAGGCTGAGCCCCCATCACTGCCCAGCTGGACACAGTGCAGTGTGACTGGACATGATAGCCCTGGATGTCGCTTGGATGACTTTAGCCACAAGTCCACAGGGTGTGGCAGGGGAGTGGGCCAGGTCAGCCTGCCATCCCTTTCCATATGCCCGTGACTCCTTGCCTATGCCTCCACTTCCCCTCATCTCCCAGCCCCCACACTCACACTCTGTCCAGCCTGTCTTCAAACCACACCTTCCTCCTTGTATCCTATCCACTCCCCGGTCCTCTGGACTTCTCCTTTTTTCCTTCCATGGCACCAGCTGCCTCTCTACTGCCCTTGGCATGTCCTCCCTGCAACTGCTTTGCCCCTTAAGCAGACCACTTTCCAGGTGGAGAAGTATCCCACACTGCCTGAGGTATACACAGACAGCAGGGTCAACAAGCCTCCTCCCTCACCCACTGATCCTAGAGCCCTGTGCCCTGCCTCTCTTGAAATAGATTTTTCACCTTTTGATTATGGAGCTTCTCACACTAACAGAAAAGTGTAGAAGACAAATCCCCATATCCCTTGTCACAATGGGGGGCTTCCAGCCAGGGCCTCTCTTTGTCCCATGGATTTACCATCACATCTTCCCACATTGCTCCACTGCTGGGCATATCCAGTTATTTCCCATCTTTCACTGCCACATCCCTGACTTCATTTCTGTCCTCACATTTGGGATGCATTTTGGGCGGAAGCTGTCAAGTTGTCAACACCAATCACAAGTCATCATGTGGTGGGGTGCCCTGCTTTCCACACAGGGGGCGCAGCTTTTCCACTCTTCCCAATTTCAGAGGTCTAAAAAATGTGTACAGTAAGGCCACCTTATTTGAAGATTTTCTCATACACGGTCAAAAAATAGGTAAAAATCAAAAGAAATTTCAAAACCAAAAATTTTAAATTTCCACACACACATTCCACAGCTCAGGTTTTCGGAGCAGCTCTCAGTCAGTCCCATGTTGTTCGCAGTTGTGTTTAAATCATTACGTGATCTGCTGAGTGTTTCCTTGCCCTTAATTTTGCAAAAATATGTCTCCCCAAATGCAAATGGTGTCCAAAAAGCAAGGTAAAAGTTAATGTGCTTAGTTTAAGTGATAAAGCAAAAATATGAGATTTGTTGAAAGGTAACATGTTTCAAGTAGAGGTTGGGTGTGCTTTGGGAAAAATGAATCAAGCATTGTGGTACAGCATCAAGCTCTATGCATTCTGAACATGCGAGGGGTTTCCTCAAATGTGGCCACCATGGAGGCCTGTGGGTACCCTATGTTGACTGTACTCTGATGTGCATTTTCAGTATGATTGTTGACAGGTTAACACCCATGTCTGTCAGCCATTCATTCCTGTGTCCCATCTTCTCCTGAGGTGTCTCTGCCCTTCTACCCCAACCTAATCAACTCCCTAAAATATCATGACCTGGACAGAAACAACTGCTGAGCCCTGCTCCCCATTCCTCAGCGGTCAGCCTGGGCATCCCATGGGTATGCCCAATTCTGTTCACAAACCCAGCAGAATCTATGGAGCCCTCAGTGCCCTGGAAGCCAAGCCTAAGAAGCCTGTTTTACCTGTCCCTCCCCATGTCCTGCCTCTCAGCCTGGGCAGTCCCTGGAGGGAGGAATCCCTCAGCCTACCAACCTTGCCACCCCAGGGCATTCTCGAGGGCTCACTGGGCCAGGAGAGCTGTGAGAGGAAGTCCAGTTTCCTGGCTGGCCATCTGCTCCAGCAGCTATGGGTGAGATGGAAGCTAAAGATGTGGTTTATGTCATCATCCATCCCCAAGCCCTCCGGCCCCTTGCTGGTGGGCAGTGTGCCCCCGAGCTCTCTTGGGAGATGGCTCACCACTGTGCCAGCAAAGTACCTTTGTTCTCAGCCACCACCTGTTGCTGGGCCAGCCCCCCAGCCCACTCCCCACTTCTTAGAGCCCAGTGACTTACCCAGGCTGTCTGTCCTATGGCAGCAGCACACAGACCTCTGTAGCCCCAGCTGAGAGCTTTCAGGAAGTAGTGGGGTCCAAAAGTACGTTCAGTCTGAAACTCCCCTAACCACAAGAGCACGGGTTGGCCATGGGCTGGGGTGTTACCTCATGTTGGTGACAATGGTTCTATCACTTTCCTGACAGTGGGTCCCACCCACTGCTCATGAAGGGCAAGGATGGCAGGAAATGGCCCCAAACCTACTTGTCTTTGCTCTGGTGCTACTCCCTGCAAGGGCTCTCAGGAGTGGAGCCAGGAGCAAAGGAACAGAAGCCAGGGGCCAGGGACAGCACAGCCAGGCCGCTCTGTCTGAGCTGGCATCACACCTGCTTCTGTGTTGTCCCCAGACAAGGCAGTACCCATAGCAGGAGGGCTATGGATAGATTGCAGTTATTCTGCAGCTCAGGCCCAGCATCACCTTGGCCCAGCAGGCATGGGTCAGCTGAAACTGCACCCAACAAACACTAACTCCCCAGGTCCCTTTCCCCAGCCATGCCCACCACCATTCTACTTTCTGTCTCCATAAAAGCTGACTCATCTAGGGACTTTGTTTTAAGTAGTATCATACACGTCCTTTTGTGACTGGTTTATTTCACTCAGTGTTTTCAGGGTTCACCCCATGTCGCAGCCTGTGTCAGAATGTCCTCCATTTTTAAGGCTGAGCCACGTGTCACTTATCCAACATCCATGGATAGACACTTGGGCTGCTTCTACCTCTTGGCCATTGGTGAACAGGGAGCGCAGGACTCATGGATCTTCCATTCTCAATGTGTTTCTGTCAGTCATTATTCTTGATGATACTCAAATTGTCCCAAATTTGAAGAGCTGCCCGTTCTACTTCTGTGTTAATGACTGTGTATTTTGTGTCCTTAAGTTTGTCAGCATGGCAAGTTTGCAAACACTGAGTCCCCCGCTGGGTGTGTTTGTGTGGCACCTGACCCCATTAGCTGAGATAGTAATGTCCCCTGGGAAACGAGTCTTCTCAGTCTTTTCTGACTCTTCCTCTTGGCCTCATCGTTGTTCTTTGGAGGAGTCATCTGCCCTTGCCTTTCTATTTCTGGGCCTTAATGATGTCAAATGGGGGTGTGGAGGGGAAGGCCGGGGCTGCCATGAGAACAGCCTTCTCACACAGAAGAGGGAAAGAGGTCCCCAGCCTCACCAGGGAAGTTTTGAAGACAGTTGCCTTACACAGAAGAGGCCGGGGAAGAAACGGGGCTTTCGAGAAGTGTCAATCCAGGAACTTGCTGATTCTGAAAGTCCGTGTTACTGGCCCACCTTCCTTTGACCGGGGCACACCCCAATTGTGAGTCTCCAGTTGTGGTTTCAAAGAAGCTACAGTCTACAGTGTGTCCCAGTTAGGCCCAGGACAGGCTGCCCTAACCCAGAAACCCCACGGCCATACTTCAGCCACAGAACCTTTCTTCCTCCGGCCTGGCCTGGCAGCTTCCAAGGCCACCAGGCACCCATGAGCTTTACCTCACAGCATGACAGCTACTTGAGTTCGGACCTTCACATCTGTGTTCCAGGTGCCAGGAAGGAAAAAGAGGTGCTACAATCCCTCTCCTTTGAGATGGCCCAGAATTACCCCCACCCCAAGGTTGGTGTGGCTGCTGCCAAGCCACAGTGTCACATATACCCTGCTGCCCACATCCAAGGGAAGAAGCCAGAGGGACTGGGGAAGGGCTGAGAGGAGTAAGGTTACCCCAAGGCTAGGCACAGAGGGAGCCAGGGAGGAGCAGTATCTTGATCAACCACTCTCTTCAGTGTGTAGAACCTTGGATGATCCTTTTCCAATTTTGGAAATATCCCAGGAAACCCTTCCCAGTTAGGACCAGGGCCCACCATGGACCAACCATGCCAAGGAGTGTCCAAGAGTGGCAAGGAGGTTGAGGTGCCAAGGTCCTTCAAGTACAGCTGGGTTCTTAGATGGAAGTGGGCCCCACCCCAAGCCACAGCCCTGCCCTTCCTTCCTCCATCTTCCCCTCATGCTCGACCTCTGGTTCTTTCCACCTCACAGATATCTTCTGGTCACTTCTCCTGAGGGGACCCCACATCTACACTTCTCCTGAGCCCACTATGGTATTTCTCCTGCCCTGTCTGCTTTGTGCTGGGGTCAGTCACTGTCTGGTTGGTTTGGTGTCCCTAAGAACTGGGGACTGAGGACAATTGTACCCCAAGGCCCACAGCTCTATTGAATAGTGGGTCCTGGAGAGGACCAGAGGCAGCCAGGGAGGGTCTGACAAACCTAAGGTTCCTTCAGAGCTAGAGCTCCCACGCCAGGGCACGTCTCCCTGCCCCTACATGTCTTGTTAGCACTATCCCTTGGCCTTCCCTGGCTGCCCTTGCTCCTCCCTGATAGAGGGAGCAGCAGCAGGTACACCCCTCTGGACAGTCCCTGTGGCACTTAGCAGTGCCCCTGGCTGAGGCTCTGTCCAGAACCTGCTCCCGGGACACAGGAAGGAGAGAGGCACAGCTGCCTCTCTGGGATTGGCCCCCAGGGCTGCAAAAGAGGAATGGCATGTTTAATGCATCATCTGTTGAGTGACAGGCCAAGCAGGGCACATGTTCCCCCACCCCCCAGGAAGGGAACCCTGCCTCTCCACTGGTTCTGGGCTCCCCTGGCCCTGTCAGCCAGGGATCTCCTGAGAACACCTCCTGGGCCTCCCTTTCCAGCCCTACAGCCTCCCAGTGGGACTCTTGGGCCCTGTGCATCCACTCTCAGCAACTTCCAGGACATATTCGTTTTCATCCTTGAAACAGGAGGAGCCCCAAAGACAAGGGCTACCCCAGACCTCAGGGCAAAGGGGCAGGGACAGCAGAACTATTTGCTTCCCGAGGGGCCTCCCCAGTGAATCAGCTGGGAGCCTGCAGCGAAATGCAGAAGTGCAAGCTGGTGCAGGACCACTCTGTCCTCCGTGCAGGATCCCATCCCCAGCCACTGCAAGATAAGCACAGAGAGAGAGAGAGAGAGAGAAGAGGAGAGAGAGAGAGAGAGAGCCTTCGGCAGCAAGGAAGTCACACTCAGCGACCCTGCAAAGTTTGGTGTCATCTTTCCTGTGCCTGTGTGTTCTCATCTGGATTGTAGCCAGTGTTGGAAGGCTGGTGGCAGATGGAAATTAAAAATTAGATTCTTCCCACCAGAGACGTGAGAAGCCAGGCCTTCCCCAGCTGGTCCAGCCACCTTCCCCCTCACCCCAGGCTGTGCCCAAGGTGGGGTCATCTCCCTCCACCCCACTGCCAAGGAGACATTCAGCATCTCTGGAGACCCAGTGGAGGGAAGGGTGCCCGGCAGCACTAGTGGGTGGAGACGCAACGATGCTGCCACATGTCTAGCCTCACACAAGATGGCCTTCCCACCACCACATACAAGTATCAACCCTAAGTAGCTCTAGTCTTGGGGATGAAGCCCTGACAGCCTGTGGGGAGCCAGGCCAAGGTTTTGAGTAGAACCATTTTAGAAACATCATTGTTTTGCCCCAGGTGAGGAAGCTGATGACTAGGAGGGTCACCCCATTATCAACCTGCCCCCACCCATGCCATGCCTGGGGATGCCCCAAAGCAGTGACCTCTAAGCTGCAGCTGAGGTCAGGGCAGCGGTGGGCCTTGGGCCTCCAGAGCACACAGAGGGGCTGTCCCAGTGGGGTCCGGGACTATGTCCCCTCCCCTGTCCTTTGCCACATCAGTAAAAAGCAGAAGTGACTTGGGTGGGGGAACTACAAGACACAAGGAAGCCAAGATGCTGTGTTGTGGCTTGTCCCCTTCCCTCTAGCACGACACCCATGACACCTCCCAGACCTTGGCCAGTGGGGAGTCAGCAGCCCACATGAAAAGACACTCGTGACGTCAAGCCCAGTGCACTCACTAGAAACAATCTGGCTTCTCTCACAGGCTGTCAGGGCTCCAGCTGCCTTGGGACCAACCTAGGGCAGAGCCCCCAGGCTGCTGTTCTGGGGGTCTTTCACCTGCTACCAGTAGGAGAGGACTAGGGCAGACGGACTGGCAGTGTCCTGCCTATGGCAGCTTCTCAAGTGTGGGGGGTGTCTCGGTCCTACAGGGGACCCCCCCCATCCCAGTGCAAGGAGGAGGCCCCTCACATGAGCAAGCCCTGGATAGAGGCTCCTGAGGCTGTGTGCAGGCTGCTGCTGAAGCCTGGGGAGGCAGGAGCCTTGCAGAGGGGCCACCTGTGTGAGCACACACGGCTGTGCATGAGGCAAGCTCTACAACAGGGACAGGACTGCACAGCCACTCCAGGGCAACCAGAGACCGCTGCCTCCCACCTGGGAGAAAATGGATCAGGCCAGTTGCCTCCACTTCCTGCCCTTCACCTACAGACAGTCACTCTTTGCTGGTGAGGCCTCCTTCCGGGGAGGAGGGCAAGTCATAGGGCTGGAGGCTCCGAAGTCACACCTTCCACCCTTGCTCCCAGCACCCCAGGGGCTTCCTTACCTGCCCATGAGATCAAGAATCCCTCATCTTTGGGTTGCACACACATGCACACACACACACACACACACACACACACACACACACGGAAGCAAGCAAATCAGGCATGTGAGCAGTGCTCAGGGTAGCACTCACTGTGTGACTCAAAACAAGTAGCCTTATTTGTCTGGGTTTGGCCCCTTCAGGACAAGGTGGGTAGGTGCTCAGCTGTGAAGGTGTGAGGGCTCCTCCCAGCTGCTGCCCTGGTTGCCAGCTGGGCTGCTTTCTGGTCAAGCCCACGATCTCCGAGAGCACAGCACAGCCCGCCCTCCTCTGGCTCTGAAGCTCAGATGCTCGGGGTTGTCATCTTGGAGGTCCTCTAAGACCTCACGTGCAGCACTGACCCTTCCAGTCCCAAATGTCTGCCCAGAAAGACTTTGAGCTTATTCAACCTATTTGATAACTATAGGACTGTTGAAACTTTTTATTTCTTCTGGTCACTCATTTTTTTGTTCATCTGTCCATTTCATCAGCCTGTGATCGTTCTAGGTTTGCCTTTTCTAGAGTTTGTACAGTATGAAACTGTA